ACACACACACACACACACACACACACACACACACACACACACACACACGAATAAGAACTGAGAAGACTCCCTGGGCTCTGGCTCTCACCATACATCATCACTTCAAGGCTTGTGGGAAAGACAACTCTTTTAAGAGCTTCTGGGAAGACCACGAGGATAGGGGCCTGCTTGATCTCAGGGGAAAAAGGTACTTTCAAGAAAGCATGGTGACAAGAATGCTTTCAGTTCTGATCGGTTTTGTAACCTAATAGTAACTATGTTGCTTTTTCTTTCTCAATTTCAAACTGCTCTCTTGATTTTTCTGGAAAGTTTTCACAACTAGAATTGAACATTGTTTTTTGTGTTTTGTTTTGTCATGCCCATACCTGCCTCCAAGAGGGAATTCACTGTTTTAAAATGCTGTTTCTTTAAGAACAATTGTACTTTCAGAAACTATTTTAGAAAAGTGGGAAAAATTGCTCTGAATGTTGTGAAATTGCTCTCCATCCTGTGGATGATAGGACAGTAGTTGATATTCCCAACATTTGGGGAGATTCCCTTTAGGAATTAGTTGTGCGTTTTCCTAGCCATACTTGAAAAACTAAATGGTTATTCTGCTGTTTTTTAACTGTTTGGATTAGTCAGTTTGGGTTGGAAAAACAAATTTATACTAAATTTATACTAAAAAAATTACAGGCTAATATCTAAATTCTCCATAAAACATCTAGAATGAAAAATTGCTAGGCAGCAAAAGCCATGTTTGGTTACATCTATGCACAGTTACAAAAAAGAACAACCTGCAAGTGATAGAGAGAGAAGAAGAAAATAATCAATTCGATTTTAATAAGGACTATCCTACTCTGATTTCTCCAGCTCATAAATGAATTAGAAATAGTTTGCTAGATGTACAAGGAAAAGGGAAATAATTGATTTAAGTATGTGTATGTTCAAATAGTCAAACACAACAGGAGGAAACAGGATATGGGTGTGTAAAAGAGAGCTTCCAAACTTTCTTTGCTTATTCACGAGGTAGAATTACAGAGAAAGAATAAAAGAAACTCACCTTTTATTTGCAGTCAAACCTCTGGTCAGGGAAAATGCTCCAATGGCACTGAAAAAATGTTTTAATAAACCCTTCATTGAAACTGTTGCTAAGTGAATAAATATATTCAGTTCAGCAACATGGGAAGTGAGAGCTTTTCCTTTGCTTGTTATTTTTAGAATAGCAGCAAGAATATGTAAGGTGTTTGAAGTAGCATAATGCTTGAATGCAGGAGGACATAACTGAATTGCTGTTGTTCACATGGCACACATGAGCCCAGTGACACATGCAATAAATGTAATCATATGCACTAGCACAACTCCAATGATATAAGTAAGCAGGAACCTAAGAGTTGCCTCATCAATTTTAATGTTGCCTATTTAACATTCTTTAATACTACCCAATGTTTGCAAGCTGTAGCTCAGACATCACCTAATTGGATAGGAGCTGTGGTGGTGCAGTGTTTAGAATGCAGTACTGCAGGCTATCTCGCTCACTGCCAGAGTTCGATTCTGACCAGCTTAAGGTTGACTCAGTTTTCCATCCTTCTGAGGTCAGTAAAATGAGGACCCAGATTGTTGGGGACAATATGCTGACTCTGTGAACCGCTTAGAGAGGACTATAAAGGATTGTGATGCGGTATATAATTCTAAGTGCTATTGCTATTGCTGATGGGCTGCGTCTCAAGAAAGCTGGGTGGGCATCGTGACCCTACAAACTTTCCGTAATCAACACTTCAAGCCTTCATGATATTGTCTTTTGGGGTATGTGCGGAGTATAGGAAAAGAAGAAGAAATAATATGCCAAAGAAATTAAAGACATAAGAAAAGGAAGCATACTTAAAAGTGGTTTAGACCAACAGCATTCATTACATTTTTTCAAACTTCCTAGCCTTGCAAATTATTTCATCTCATCTATGAGACAGCTGATACCACTGCCCACACAAAGGACAAAATGAAACCAGGCTTCCCACGCAAAAAAAATAGGTCCTTTTGGTCCGCTGCAAAACACAGATGAGTGAAAAGAGACACAAGACTAGAGCTTCATTCGGATAGTTCATGCTGCTTCTTAGCTTAGTAGTAGAGATGCCTCTTGAAACAAGTTTTCAGAACAGCCTACCAAGAAGCCTGACAACATACATAAACCATTTATGGTACTCTCTCAGTACAACGAAGTGAAACGATGTCATTTTGGCTTCATTCGGGAATATCAAGTCCTCGTAACACACCAAATACAGGTGGTGTTCAACTTGCAACAGTTCATTTAGTAACCATCCAAAGTTACAATTGCACTGAAAAAGGTGACTTACAATCATTTTCCACATTTACAACCATTGCAGTCTTCCCATGGTCATGTTTCTTAATGACCTGCTGAGGAGAGAAAAAAAAATCTGTCCACAGGCACAACCCCTGACTTGCCGTAAAGCTACATTTCATTTCCCAAATTTTGCTCATTGTCTTATACCCTTTCAATCAGAAAGTTGCCAAACATTTCTTAGGCAAATTTAAAAAACAAATCCCTTATTAATTTTGCATTCATTTATAAAAGCGAGCAATAACATTGTTCTTCCAATGCTGAGATACAGATGCAACCTACACAAATGTGTTGAAACAATCCGTATTTTAACTTTTCTCCACCTGCATAATATGTAACTGAACTCTTACCATTCTTCAAGACGCTCACAATATTTATTACCTATGTTCTAGACACTAATATTCTTGAATTGTACTCTTCAATCTATCATTCCTGTACAAATCTTTAAAATATTCGTTTCAGCATTCTCTCATTTCAGTTTCAAAGCTCTTCAACTATTTCTTAAACAATTTAATACCCGTCAAGAATTCTCTGCATTTTCTCTGCTTCTTTTAATCTAATTGATTCCTTGCTCTCTTTGGCTACAAAATTGCATCCCTTTCTTGATGTATTTCTCACAGTTTTTCTCTCATTGTCATTGTGTCATAATTTCTGACCTTGCATTCTTATTTCTTTTGCTACTTTTGTATTATTTCAAGTCTGTTTTTTCAAAATAAATAGAATAATTCATCATCTTTTAATGTTTTTTTTTAAATTAATTATACAAAATCAAACCAGTCCTACTTTTATATTTGTAGTCAATCACTCAATTTATAAATAAAATAAATAATTCATATATCCAAAACAAACAGGGTCTTCTAGGCAGTTATTTGCCAAATTGTCATTTTTGGAGTTTTCAAACATACCAATAATTTGGGTCTGTGTCTTTCTGTCTTATTCCTACCCATCCATTCAGCTTCCTTGGATTACATTTATTCAGAATGGTGCACTGTTGTCCCCAAAAGTCACCTCTGTTTCCTCCATTAACTCATTAACTATCACCAATCTATTGATTCCTTTCTATACACACCCACAACATAGAAAATACCAATTCATACTCTCTGACATACGTTTTAGCCTTTTTCATTCATAATTAAATCTATACCCTCACTCCCCTGTGCATACAGGTAGTCCTTGACTTATAACAGTTCATTTAGTGACCGTTTGAAGTTACCATGGCACTGAAAAAAGGGACTTATCACTGATTTTTACTCCTACGACCATTGCAGTATCGCCATGGTCATGTGATCATCTTTTGTGACCTTCTGAGAAGCAAGTCAATGGAGAAGCTAGATTCACTTAACAACCAAGTTATTAACTTAATAACTGCAATAATTCACTAAACAAATGTGGCAAGAAAGGTTGCAAAATGGGGCAAAACTCACTTAACAAATGTCTCGCTTAGCAACAGAAATGTTGGACTCAATTGTAGTCATATATCAAGGATCACCTTTACTTGCACACTTTATTCCAGAAATCAAGACTGTCTTTATTCATATTTCCTCTTAATTTCACAAACGGATGATGATGTATCTGTTTTTCTTTCATTATGCAGCTAGAAGTAAGGCGAACACTAGTCAGCTATCACACATCTTAACCATCAGGCTTGTAAGTGCAACCAACCCATTTTATCCTAAGCATGCTAATGTTATTTTATGCAACTAGAATCTCTACTTTAGAGGCTGCTTTGCAAGCCAATATGCTGTTCCTCATATCCCATAAACAGGAAGGATATGAAGTGTACCAACAGCCAGGCACTACCTTCCATATTGTCTACATTTAAAACCATCTAAGTATTTATGGGTTTAAGTTTCTTACAATCGATAGATGTGTCCTAATAGGCTTATGCATTCCCATTTCACTAAGTCTTAAAACCATCTAAGTATTTATGGGTTTAAGTTTCTCCAATCGATAGATGTATCCTAATGGGCTTATACATTCCCATTTCACCAAGGTGGTTATCTCTAGAGCAGGGCTCTCCGACTTT